ATAATATAATATAATATGTATATATATATATTGTGTTGTGTGCTAGCTTACCGCTGTAGCGTTCACGTACAAAGGTAGAGTCGAATTAAACAGATATACGTAGGATTCGACATGCTTGATGTATTCACATTAACCAGATCTTCACGCCGATATGTCCTTCAAAGTCGTTCGTACCACCAGTACGGAAGCCCCTCAATTCTTCCTTCGATGTCCACACAGTTTCTATCTGATATATGACAAAACACTCACAACACAATCAGCACCTGCCATCCACAAAGAACACTGTCCACATACGCATATCTCAGACACGTTCACAAACACGCATATTCGCCACAAGCACACCGTGCACATACCGATGTGCAAAGATCGGGGTCACACTGTCTGCGAATCAGAAGGTCGACATTCTCTGCATGGCCATTCTTGGTGGCCTCGATCAGTGCTGTGAAGCCGTCCTGTGAGGTCATAGATAAGCATATGGGAGAGGTGGTTAGGCGTCATGTACGGGCTGCTCAGCATACTATAGATACTGTATGTGGAAGTTACAGCCTAGGATGCACCCATACAGTGGAGGACTGAAGAGCTTACAAGAATCTAGACAGTACTTAGAAGACGAGATATGGAATGACAAGGAAAACGGTAGGTTAAGTCTTGCATACACCCAACTACTGAGTGCGCTGCTAAATACCACAACCAAAAACCAACACAAGACTATGTGAGGAGACAACTGCCGTACAAACAATCGAACCAGACAAAGCTATTATATGTATCACAACTGAACGCATCGCCAATTGATAAGCAAGTATAGACGTGAGCTATAGCCGCTTACTTAAAGTATGTTATTGTGTTGTCACGCAGTTTAGGACCAGTCTCGCAGTGTGACAGGTTGGCATCAAACAAGATCAAAATCTTATCACATACATAGCTCGCCTCACTGTACGCACACCTATTTGAACAGACGGTTGCTATACCGTACACCCTAGCCCATAGTGAGCATACTCACCATTGGGCGTAGGTTTCTACATAAAGACTACTCGATAAACACAAATTTCTAAATATCTGAGAACCGTGCATGAACAACCATCATCATCCACACACATCCGTCTGGCTATCAATGTCTGCGCCCGAATCTAGCAGGTATTGCACAATGTCAAAGTGGCCACTGATAGCTGCGACGATAAGAGCCGTGTGTCCATGCTGTTGTGGATTAGAAGTATTTGGACAAATGCGTCAGATATGTTGTTGAACTGTGTAATGTGTTGGACAAACCAACGTATGTACAGATATAGACATCGGTAACTGCCCGCTATTCGAATAACCTGGTATGAGTGTCTGCCGCAATGATAGTGAAGGTAGTACAACGACAGTTTGGCTTTAGGAGCAAAGTATTACTTCTAAACCATATATCACACACCAAAATATAACGTGAAGACAATCGGAGTAGAGAAGACATAGGTACATAAATAATAGTACGGCTGTTTGTTAACCAGCACCATATCTGTACATGTAATCGATGTTTGCACACTGCAACAATACCTCTGCCGCGGCATTCACATCGGCTTCATGTTCGATAAGGTGCTTCGCCACATTTGTGTGGCCTTCGTTGGCGGCGCAGATCAGAGGCGAATCACCGAACTATAGTTGTGAGTCAAGACAGGCGTTATAGTGGTGGAGTGTGTCACCTCCTTAACCCCTACTAGATGAGCTATACTGTACACGTACAGATTGGGAAGCACGTGGACGTGTTTGCAGAACAACGTGCGGGATGATATCAAACTGAACCATCAGATTGAACATGTCACATAATGGCGGAATAGTGTGAATATATATACGCATGAATGTACATACAAACACACCAAAAATCAGAGAACACTATTATTAGTAACATTTGTGGTGAGACCCCGTTTCTAAGGATTCAGTACATAGCAACAATGCCAGACGAGAGCCCCTGAAACGTCTCAGGCCGATCAATACATACAACTACCTACAAGTGACAGCACGCAAACCACAAATATATGCACACACTTCCAGGTATCAGTTTCTCTGTGTCCAATCGCAAGGGCATAGACATACTCGAATAGAGCTCGAATATCATTTGCTGATATATCCGAATTTTACAACCTCAACGCCTTCTGTACATACCTTGTCACGAGCGTCCACGTTGGCGTGAGCTGCCAACAGCAAGGACACAGTTGTCAGCCTACCAAGTCTGGCCGCGCGGATGAGGGCTGTCTCTCCGTCCTGGAATGGTGCAGGATGCATGGGAGTGGTTCAGAGTATAAGCCTGTCAAGTAAAGTGTAGACACTTGCCACTGATAGTCCCGTTACACCTGTACGAAGGTGTGTATTGGCTTTGCACATAGTGCGCTTGTATCCTGGCCCATCCACCGACATGCTATGGTAGCATAGCCCGCATCACGATAGATGTGACCCCTAGTGGTGATTGATATCCCGTATTGGCCTAGTCCTCACCACTACTTACAAACCAGCCTACAGACTAAAAGTAGTAAACATACCTCCTCTTTCATGCAAACTAAAGTCAAGTCTCAAATACATTAAACCACGCTGGATTGAAATCGGTCATATACGGTTAACTTAATCAGATTGAGCCATCCTGTTGACAAACATACCGCAGCGGCATAGTGCAAGTCATTGCTAATATAACCAGGTGAATATCAATGTCCATAGATGTACGGAAGTGACAAAATAGTCCATACCACAACTGAATTGATCCTTTAGGTTAAGGTTTCCAATATTAAATAAGGTACTTTATAGACATGATCCATATACGACCATCTCAATAATATACACCAACATCGCAAACAGGCGAATACTAAACAACCCACGCTAGCAGAACCCGAACACATTTGACTCAATTAGATGATCCATTAACAACACGCGCAGAGATACACAGTATTTGCGTACTCCAAACACAGCTAACTTAATCAGGTAAACTTTCGATAACACGCGCATAGACATACCACATTGGCATAGTCCACGTCACAGTCATCCTGTCTAAGCAATGCCTCCACCAACTCATCGTTGTCGTCCGCCACAACCGTCAACAAACACGAGTCGGCGTTCTGTGGTGGAATATTTGCAGTTGAAGGGATGGCAAGAGAGAGAGTATGTGTGTGGGATGCTCGGTTGTTTGTGAAGGAATGAAAATCCAGCCAGCTCAAAACGTACTCATAGAAGTTAAGTTTAACTTAATCCTTATGCGCGTTCATGTTATGTGTAATGCTCTCGCTCGCGTGTATATAACAAAGTGGTGTCCACAGTGTGCATCACACATATCCACAATAAATTCACGGCCTTGAATATGTACATTGTAAATGGTTTGTGTGGCTATGCCTGACGGTTTATTGCTTCCAGACACGAACAAATGACAGTAGACACGTACATTACGGTGGTGAAACACCTATCCACAGAAAAGATGAGATTTAACACAGCTGTCAGATATCCGTAATAGTGTATCATTATACGCGGCAGCCGCGGCTTTTTGCGTATGCGTAAGAGCATTATAGGGAATAGAACAATCAAACTCCGCAATCATAGGTACATTTGTCAGCTATAGGTCATTCATAGGTGCTACGGGCAGCACATAGCACCTGTGATTCTACTATGGTTGCGTTCAAGATACGTATAGTAAGATGGGACTCACGTGGCTGCCATGAGATTTCTAGTTTATCTATGAGTCTACCTGGTAGCTGCGTGGGTACAAGTATGATAAATTGAATGTAATGTAATGCAGTTCACAAAATGGGGTATATGAACTATGCATATCTAAGATGGTATTCGAAGTCAGCAATGGAAACTTTAACTCGTGCAGAACGGCATGAACCTGCTTAGATTGGAGCCATAAATAGTTGTTTATTTTGGTCAACAATACTTGATGAATTTACTTGGCAGTCAGTCATAAATGCATACTAATAATGGCTCACAAGAAGCGCCTTTAGGACACTTCAATTAACCAGAATTCGAGGACATATGGCTATAATATATTGTGCATGGCACTTATTACCCACATCACGTGCAAATGTATATATATATATACCTGAAAGTTGCGATGGGGTTTAACTCCAGCGTCGAGGAGGGCTGTAATGGTCTTGGTCTTTGCCTGTTTGGTATTGTTTCGGCTATTCTCTACCAAATAAATCGGGTGCATATGATCCTGAAACCCCATTTTGGATTAGTAGACGCTACGAAGAGTTATACACATACACAGCCATATGCAAAGTTCAGAACGTTAGACTGTACATGCACTGTTGTATATATATATATAGTTATACATATATATATATATATATATGTGTGTGTGTGTGTGTGTGTGTATGTGTGTATGTGTGTGTGTGTGTGTGTGTG